AAGAAGAAGAAGAAGAAGAAGAAGAAGAAGAAGAAGAAGAAGAAGAAAACTTTAATCCCAGCACTCAGGAGGCAGAGGCAGGCAGATCTCTGTGAGTTCATGGCCAGCCTTGTCTACAGAGTGAGTCCAGGACATCCAAGGCTACACAGGGGGACCTGTCTCAAAAAGCCAAAACCAAACAAACAAAAAAAGAATCTTAGCATGTGTATGTTTTTAACCAGCACCAGACTGCTCTTGGACCAAACTTTGAAAAAATATGTCAGTGAAAGATATCTGCACATCTCTGTTTACCTCAGCACTGTCACAGTAGCCAAGATGTGGAAGCAGCTTTAGCAAATAAGTGAATGAAGAAAATATGGCACATCTACTTAAGGGAGGTTTATTCAGAAGGAAGGAAGAATGAGATGATGTTGCTTGTAAAGAAATGCACGGAACCGGAGATTATTATATTAAGTAAAATCAGCCAGATTCACAAAGATAAATTTCACACACTTTTCTCTCATATGTGGAAACTTTATTTAAAAATAAAATATGATGTGGTAACAAAAGGGGAAGGGGATCGTTGGGCTGAATAGGAGGGATAGGGGAAAGTCAGGGATAAATATGATCTAAGAACAATGGTACAATAGTAAACAGGTGTGAAAATGTCACAAACAAAACCCATTCTGTGGTATGCTAACTATAATTATTAACAGATAAAATCTTTAGTTTATCATAACTCTTCTGTTTTGCTTTAAAAATTGTTTTAGGGCTAGCAGTGAGGGTGCAGACCTTTAGTCCCAGAGGCAGAAGCAGAGGCAGGCAGATCTATGTGAGTTCAAGGCCAGCCTGGTTTATAAAGTGAGTTTCAGGATACCCAGAGATATGCAGAGAAACCCTGTCTCACCACTCCACCCCCAAAAAAAACTTTCTAAAAATTGCTTTAATGTAAAATTTTTCTATATAGACCAAGCTGGATTATATGTAGTTTGGTATGTAGTATGGACTGGCTTTGAACTTATCTTCTTATTTCACCCTCCCAAGTACTGGAATTATAGGCTGTACCACCCTGCCTGGCCTATTCCTTTATTATTTTTTCTTAATAAAATTCCCAGATAAGGCCTTACTAGCAACTTACTAAGAGTCTCTTTATTATTTTTACTAGTATGTGCTAATTATGTAGCACATACTACATGTGACTTTTTCGTAGGTGTACATCTTATATTTTGATCATATTCAAGCCCCATTAGCTCCCTCCCGCTTTTACTAATCTTCCCCTCCCTATTTTTGTCTTTTTGAGACCAAGTTTCTCTGTGTAACAGTCCTGGCTGTCGGGGAACTGATGTGTAGACCAGGCTAGCCCTGAACTCACAGAGATCCGCTGCCTCTGCCTCTGCCTCTGCCACCCAAGCTCTGGATTAAAAGAATGTGTCACCATCGCCCCTTCTTAACTAGACTCCCTAATCGTGGTGGTTTGAATAGGTACGACCCTCATGGATTCATATGTGAATGCTTGGCCATTGGGAGTGGCACGATCAGTAGGCGTGGCCTTGTTGGAGGAAGTGTGTCATTGTTGGGGCGGGCTTTTGAGGTCTTATAGGCTAAGCTATGCCCAATCTTACACACATTCTCCTTCCGCTGCCTGAGGATCATGATGTAGAACTCTCAGCTCCTCCAGCACACGCCTGCCTGTGTGCTGCCGTGCTTCCCAGCATGACAATAATGGACTGAACCTCTAAAACTGTAAGCCAGCCTCAATTACATGTTTTTCTTTATCAGAGGTGCTGTGGTCATGGTGCCTCTTCACACCATTAAAACCCTAGCCAGGACACTAATGCTTGCTTTTTTTTTTTTTCTTTCTTTCTTTCTTTCTTTCTTTCTTTCTTTCTTTCTTTCTTTTCTTCTTCTTCTTCTTCTTTTTTATGAAGGGAGTGGATACTGCTGTTTTTGATGACTCAGTGAGTTACATTTGGGTGTTTACAGGAGCATGGTGACAGGTTGCTTACAGGATCATGGGCACTTAGCAGTGGCTACACCACTGAAGAAAATGCCTATGTAGAGAGACATCGTCTCAAACTGCCACCACCCTCCAAAAAGAACAAGGATAAGGAAGGTTTTGTTTTGTGTGTTTGCTTGCTTGCTTGTTTTTGTTTTGTTTTTTGCATTTCCAGTTCAGGTGTTTAAGAATAATTTCCATGACTCAGGTATGATTTACTGCCTCTCAAGAAAATAGTGTCAAGGTCAGCAGACTTCTGCCCATCTGGTTCGTGTTTGGTGTACTGTTATTGGTGCACAGAGACCTGACTTCATCTTAGGAAGTGGAGTCTAAGAATTAAACTGGCGTTGGGAGGTTCAAGGTTAAAAACCACATTACCCAAGAATAAGACTTTTACAGGGAAGAAATATTTTTTATGCCACATTTCATAAGATATCTGTCTTACCAAATATATATTCACATAGAGCAGATAATCATACACCCCAAGCCGGATGCCGAGGAGCACGCCTGTAATCTCAGCACTCAGGGAGGAAGAGGCAGGCAGAGCTCTGTGAGTTCGAGGCTAGCCTGGTTTACAAAGTGAGTCCAGGACAGCCAAGGCTACACAGAGAAACCCTGTCTTGAAAACAAAACAAAACAGCAGATGCCCCAGTTTTTCAGAACAGTTCTTTGACTAGAATTATTAATGATTATTAATAGGAAGCTCCTTAACTCTCCAAAGTGACCCCATGTATGTGCAGATTATATGCTTACTGTATTTATACAGTGCTTAGGTACTGAACATGGAGATCCCAAAGACACGGAATGAAGACAGGCTAGTGTATATGGATAAGTACTGAGGAAAAGGACACAAAGGGGAGACAGGAGGCGGGCCTGCAGACACCTGAAGACCACAGACCATCTGAATTAGTGCCATCTAATTCCCTTTGTTGTTTCTAATATTGAGGGTTGAATTTATGGCCTTACACATGTTAGGCAAACGTTCTACACTGAGCGACGCCCTCAAAACCAGAGCTCATCTAGCATTAAATTTCTATACTTTTACGGCTTCGACGTAAGCTTGCACCCATGCTCCGAGAACCTCTATAACAAAAACAGTTGGGAGCCGTTAAAGCCATGTGTGAGAGATAGGCCGGGGGTCAATGGAAACTGTGTTCTCTGTATGGGTCAGGGTGGCCTATGGGAAAATCAGCTATGGGAGGCTGTGAGGACCACCCTGTGATGAGGCAGGAGTACAGACTCGGGGCTCATGGGATAGGCATCGCCCACTCCAGCAGACATTGGTTATGTCTGTGTGAGGAGTGGATGAGGCAAGGTGACATTTGAGCCAATTTGCTAACCTCTCAAAGGACTCGGTAATCTGATGAATTTTGACCTGAGCTCATCAGATTTACTTCTGAACTTTGCAAGAAAGAGCCCTGTAACCTCGTTTAATAACTGTAGGCTACTTTGCTGATTTCTTTTCTTTTTTTTTTTTTTTTACTCAATAACCTCTTTTTTAGGACCTATAAGATAAACCATGTTTTAGTACTGGGCATAGTTTGGCTTGTCTTTAATTTTTTTCTGTTGCATTTTTATTTATTTATTTATTTATTTATTTATTTATTTATTTATTTATTTGTGGGGGGGAGGTGAATCAAAGAACAATTCTTGGGAGAACTGACATGTTCCTTCTGTTAGGGTCTTGGGACTCAAACACAGGCTTGGAAGCAAGCATCTTTACTTGCTAAATCACATCAGGACCAGTTATGACTTTTCTTGATAATTTAAACCTTTTTTTTTCATTCTACATATTTAGCCCCTAGAGAATATAGTTATGCCAAGAGCATTATTTCTCCTTATAGGTGGTTGTTTCCCATCTTAAAAAGATGATCATGTTTAGGTTTGGTGTAGTTTTTGCTTAGGAATGCTTAAGAGATAGAAAGAAAGGCAGGATTCTTATAGTGCCAGAATCACAAGCTACATGTTTTATTAGGTTCTAAAGGAGAAAAAGCGGAGAACGAAAAGGCTTCAGTAAAAATCCATGACTCGTCTGAAAGAGCCAACTTTGGCGTTTGTAGCCCCCCAGTCAAGATAGCGCCTGTACTCCCCAGGTCTGAGCAGGTACTGCCGCCCCCTGTAGCTAGGCATCTCGTAGAGCACCCAGCAGCCCTCCAGCACGTTGAGGGAGTGGATTTCACTGAGGTGGAAGCGGTCCTGAAGAGAGAGACAGTCGTCTGTGATCTCTGACATCTGTCCTCTGAAGTCATCTCTCTCATAGATCCTCATTCTGTAAGTGCCAGAGTGCTATGTGGGACAGACGGAAGAGGAGAAGCCAATGAACACAGGGAGAAGCTAAGCTTCCAGTCCCAACACCGCCCACCTCAAAGTCCAAGTTTGCATTCAGAACAAGCACGCTGAGGAGTTCGGGGTTTCTCCTCCCAGTGCCTATCACTGGAGAATGTAGGGCTTTAATGCCCAAGGGAGAAACAGGGCGAGCTCAGCCTTCCTCGTGCCTATCTACCAGTCTGTAGTTCCTGGCAAGATTAAAAGCTGCTTAAAATAAAGCCTATCACACTTCATGGATACAACCCTTTGCAAGGAAGAAAACTGAGAGTCACTGGAAAGGTAGCATTTTTATATATCTCTCTTGTTACAAGAAACTAACCTCTGGCTGGTTTCTGCAAAGCTTGTGGGTTGATCACCTGTCTATAGAGTGAGTCCCTGTGACTAACAAGGTGCTGTGTTTTTCTCCTCTCTCTTTCCAAGCCTCATTTTCAGTCCAAGTCAGAACTTATCCAGCCCTCCAGCTTTCTTCCTGGCCTCCTGCTTGCAAGCTGTTCCTTCCCTGCCTGTGGCAACTCGCCTTGGTGAAGCCATGCTTTCGTGCCACCCTGTCTCACCCCTCCCACACTCCACCTGCCTAGAGATGCTGTGGGCATTCTCCAGGAAGCATGAATCCTGAACTTTAATTTTAGATTTGGTCTTTTGGCTGGTGTATTCTTCAAAGTGAGCCAATAAATAGTCCCCACTCCATATCCCTGGTCTACAGAGTGAGTTCCGGACAGCCAAGGCTACACAGTGAAACCCTGTCTTAAACCAAACCAAACCAAACCAACCAACCAAACAAACAAACCCAGAAGATGGTAAAAAATAATAAAGAAGAAGTGGAAGGCTAATCAAGCCAAAATATTTTTAGATGGGATTGGGGCATTCAGGGTGGTATAGGCCTTAATTAAAATTTGCTTAAATTTTTAACTAAAATTTTAATTTACAGAGGGAGCCCAGGCTGGCCTTGAACTCTTGCCACTACCTTGTCACCATATCTTCTACCTTTTCAGCAGATCCAACCCACCTACTCAATGCATTTTTAATCACCTACACTGTAGCGCATTGCATTTATAAATAAGCATTGAATTTCTGACCTAAAGTAGTTTGGAATGAATTAAGAACTCATATGGAGGGGATTTATATTTTGAATGAATAGTAAATGCATTTTCTTCGATATCCTATTTTCCTTAGTTACTCTCTGGTGTTTGAATTCTTGATGGTCTATAAAATATAAAAATGGGGACCTGAGTTGTTTTTGTTTTCTGTTTTCTTTTCTTTTCTTTCTTTCTTTTCTTTTTTTTAACTCACCACCAAGTTCCCGAGGATTGAGATTCCTTTCTCAGGTACCCTACTGGGCACACACGCTAGGAGTCACACCCACTCTGCTCTCCTTGGAAAGATTTGGTTTAAGAGTATCGTTTAAGATAATCTGTTTCCAGAGACCAACAATCAAGACGGAGCCACACTCACGTGGGGGATGAGGCGGCAGGAGCGGATGGAGTCGTTGAAGCCCATCCACTGCTGGTAGTCAGGGTAGTCCCCGCGACGCAGG